CCTGTCTGTATGTGTGTACGTATGTTCTTGATAGAAAATTCCAATCCGGACCAAATTTGACACACATACATGTCGGAGCGGGGCTGGTGTCGTAGGTTACTTTTCGTTATCGATCGATAATTTTACCGATTTTTTGCGAACTTTGCATTATGGGGCTGGGAATTGGCACAGTGGGGTAAATGAGCATGATGATTACGGGTAAAATATTGATTTTTAGAATTATCCATTTCTTCTATCGATTTTATCGATTTGCAAAGTTTGAGCCACGGGACTGAGAGTTAGCACAGTGTGAACACTCTGATTACGAATATAAATTTTATTTCTGGATATGATAACTGTTTGTAAGAATCTTATATATAAAGCTGAATGTCTATTTGTCTGTATGTCTGTATTTCTATTTGTCAAACTGGCACACATACACTTCGGGGGGCGGAGGCGAGTGTCGTAGGCTACTTTTCGTTGTTGATCGATGTCGATTTATCGATTTTTTGCAAACTTTGCGTTATGGGGCTGGGAGTTGACGCAGGGGGGTGATCGAGCATGCCAATTACGAATTCAATATTATTATAGTTTTTAAAATTGTTCTTTACTTTTACCAATTTCATTAATATGCATAGGAGTACTCGAGCATTCCGATTACGAATATAATATTAGTTTTAAATTATCCATTACTTTTATGGTTTTTAATCGATTTTGTTGCAAAGTTTGAGCAACGAGCTTGGAGTTTAAAAGGGGGTAATCGAGCGTGCTGTTTACGAATACAGTATTAGTGTTCAAAATCCTTCATTACTTTTATCGATTTTACCGATTTTTCTGCAAAGCTTGAGCTACAGGGCTAGGAGTGGGCACAGGGGTGGGGGGTAATCGAGCATGCCAGTTACAAATACAATATTAGTTTCAAATTATCACCTTTCAAATTCGCCAGTCGCATGTCGCATGCTGGCGAATATGAAAGGTGCAACAAACTTTAATCAAGCTTCTGCAAGTTCTTAGCTCTACTATCTGAAAGATGCGCCTATCAGCCCTCATAGCAATAGATTATTCTTCCCTTAAAGTACTTTTCTGGCTCACGATAGATTCTAAAAGCTGATTAACGTATATGGTAGACGAAACTAGCGCGCATCAAGAACACATTCAAACCAATGTGTTTTGTTTCTATACAAGTTTGACCTTCATGGAAAGATTGGCAGAATTTTTCCAATGCCTAACTTTTCTGCTTCCACATCGCTGACTACATGCAAGTTTATTACTATTGGAGTTACTCCAATTTGAAAATAATTTTCTTGTTGGCGAACAATCGCGTACCTGAAACCAAATTATCCACTGTCGTTTCCCATGAAGCAAGATCGAACTATAGGGGTCTGCAGGATCGCAAGAGTCGGACGTGCGTACGGCCATTACGCCGCTCACGTCAGATGTGCGCCCGACGACTCAGGTAGGTGCCAGACTTGTCGATAGAAAAGGTGGTGAACCGAATGAACAGCTTCATTCGGTTCACCACCTTTTCTGTTGGACACGTAGTGATTTGACCCATGAACCGAACGAACCGGCTGAAGCGGATAAGTCTGCTACCTGCCTCAGTGACATCGGAAGTGCGCGGCGCAATGGCTCTACGCCCGTCCGACTCTCACGATCCTGCAGGCCCCTATATATCAAGCACACTAGCTGTTCAACTCTAAATCGTCGGCGACAATTTGGTAGGGGGGGGGGGATAGAGCGCATTCATTACACTCTTAAGGTTTACGACCAACGAAACTCCTTTAGGTGCCGGCTGCCCACTTCATCGCGCTTATAAAACTCATGAAAGTTAGGTTGGTGGATACCCAGTATAGGGTCTGAATCGAATAGAAATTCGATCATTCGAATAAAACATTCGAATATATTCGCATTCGAAATTCGATATTCGGAGTTTTTCCATTTTTATTAATATTCGAAACTCGAATAATTGAAAAAAAAAACGAGGATTCGATTATTCGAAAACTCGTATAATCAAAAAACGGGGCTTCGAATAGATTTTATTGGAATGTTTTATGCGAATGTTTATTCGAATCGTATTCGAATGAACCGTATTCAGATTATTCGACTTTGTTGCAGAGTCAACTGCTGAGTATCAAGCTCACTTCGTGCGCGTTTTTTTTGCAAAACTCGGCAATGCATATTTTGCAATCGTTATGACCTTTAAAGTGTAGGATAGTCGCATTCTTCCGACTGCTTGCGACATTGATGCTTCACCAATGAAATTGTTTGCACTGCTATTGGCACCAAATAATCAGCAGAGAAGCGAATGTTCCGAGTTCATATACTGGAAGTGTTTTGACATGCCTGTTTCTCTCCTTTGCATTGCTCATGCTTGTGGTACGCAAGGTCCACGCCAGTGAGCACTCTTGATTGCAAAATTCGTATTGCACAATTGCCCCTATTCGTTACCTTGAGATTTTTTGCGCATTGGTGTATTTGGAGTAAAGGACATCGCAGCTGTAGGGAGGATTAGACGGTTGCTGATTTTGCAGTTATATCACCTTGCAATAAAGTTTTGTTCAGTAGATAGTACAGGATAGTTCTGTTATCACAGTGCATCAAGATTTTCCCGGTGTCTTGCAGGCACTTCAACACCGGGAGCTATCATATCAGCCTACCAACTTATGGTGAAGGATAAAGGTGGACGAAGAAGGTCCATATTGAGAAATGCGAGCTTTGATTATGACATACTTCACGCGATAGCCGTGCGCGATTTGCCAGTTACGAGGGGGTACAAGGGGGGAAGTGTGGGTGCTGGTTATGGATGAGAATTTACTTTATCGATTTTGTCGATTTTTGGAGAACTTTGAGCTGCGGAGCTGGGAGTTGGTACAAAGGGGTAAGTGAGGGTGCTGATTATGAAAAATAATTTACTTTATCGATTTTATCGACTTTTGGAAAATTTTGAGGTTGGGAGTTATACAGGGGGTAAATGAGGATGCTAATTAAAACCGAAATCTATATTATTGATTTCAGCGACTCTTGGAAAGTTTTGAGCTAGAAGTTGGTATGGGGAATACAAGGGTGCTGATTATGAATTAATCGGCCTTAACCAGATATTTCGGCAAGTTTGAGATATGGTTGCTCTAGTTATTCGATAAATCATTCGAATATTTATTCGAAATTCGATTTCCGGTGTTCGAATATAGTCGATATTGACTCATTCAATATTTTTTGATTTATTTTGATTTTGAATTTATTCGGAATTCATTCAATTTTTGAACCTCGAATTTACTCGATATTCGTTTATTCGAGATTTTTTATTTTTGAATTTATTCGACATTAATTTATTCGAAATTTTTATTCGATATTCATTTTACCCAAGTATAATACCCAGCTAAACTAATACCCTTGCTTGAACTACTCCGGTTATCTTTGAGCGATAGCAGTCACCTGCTATTCACCTCGCAGCCTAATTCCTACATGTAGTTGTGTAATTCACTCGCATTTAAACTTATCTTTCGTTTGCTATGGGTACACTACTCTGTACTTTCTCTTGCTTACTTCATCGAAGTACGAGTGCTTTCTTTGTTCTTTGAATGCCTAAGATGACTGGCTCCACACTATTAGTGTTTCATAGTTTAAATGGTACGCCTTGAGTGTAAAGATAAAGATAAAGATAAAGATGGATGGAATTCGAAGAGGACGAAATATCTGACAAGGAAATGATAAGTAGTCGAAGTGGCCAATCCGAACAAGCTGCATACCTCGATGCAGCATAGAACGCTAATCTTAAATTTGTCTTCCATATTTGCAAAACGCCATTTTGTAGGCGATGTTATTAGCAGCTTTACTGCGAAAAAATTCTACACAACTTGCAAAATTAGGCACATTATTGCCCTTTTAGCTTATCTCTAGGTACGGACTATGTGAAGTGATCTAAATGCATGTCTTCCAGCACTGAGCGGACAATGGCTCTGTACATCCATGTTTGCCTTTTACGCGCACTATTTCTTAGCAAAATAATGGCCTTCAACGGCTCATAACTTCATCCACAGATACGTCCTGCAGATAAGAATGACCGATTTAGAGTCAGCATTTTATGCTGTATCTAATGATATGCAGCTTGAATTGGCCACTTCGATTTCTAATCCCTTTTGAGAGGTCAATTTTTAACATAAATTTTTGGCGGAATCAGTTTGAGGCCCCGGTCAGACTTCACGCGACTTAATCGTCGCGATCTAATCGCCAAGATTTCCATTCATTTTCATTTCACATTCAAAATCGGTCCGGAAAATTATCACAACCGAATGCAAGTTGATCGGCATGGAATGATGTTGTAACAGTTGTCTCGTCGCGATTCAGTCGCGACGATCAAATCGCGTGAAGTCTGCCCGGGGCCTAAAGCAAAAAAAGCAGATTAGAATTGCAGTAGAATTTTGATAGTCAGGAAAACGCTCATAGTCCAGCAACTTTTTTCACTCCCTCTCCGCATTCTAAATCCGTCACATACAATATACTTCTCTTGCATTTTGAATTTAAAAATTTGATGTCAATGAATACGTAATTGATAGCAAAAGCTCCTTCTCTGACTGAATTTTGCGAGGTGATTTTCAATGATTTTTGCCTATACTTTGCCCAAATGATCTTTCTCTTTCTACTGGTCCTTTTTTGTATGCTACTGTACATTATTTAAGGTTCGCGAAGGTGGCGCCTATTAGCTCTGTTTGTTCCTCCATATTATGATTCTGTCCTCATCAGATTTAGACGGCTAATGTTTCTCCTTTTCATTAATTGATAGATACTTGTTTACCCGCGCCATTATCTTTTCATCAAGCTTTTTCCCTTCTCAAGAGGAAGAGCTTCAAGTGGAGTGAATCTACATAAGTTGCAGAGCGAAAGCCGCGCTTTATTCTACCGCATACTCTTGGATTGTGGGGAAATGATGCATGGTGCGAATGCAGCTTATCATTACTTTTAGCAAAACTCGAACTGATATGTCGATGCCGTTTTGTGATATTTTCACAATTTTTACTGCTATTGTTTCAGTTTCCCAATATATCTGAGATGAAAAGGAAGGTTGTTACTACGAAGGAGGACAGCCGCTCAGAAGTTGTAAAGGCTAGTTTTATTCAGTTTTGCCGAAGAGGAATTCTTGGAAGTATGGCTTACGAGGGCGGTGAAGATCAGGGTTTGGCAACAGGTGCCTTATGAGCAAGCGTTATATTGCTCTAGAACAAAAAGCAAAGGGGTCGTTTCTGCGGTTAAAAAAAACAAAGGTAGGTTAGGTTTTTTCACTCGACGTTTCCGATTTTGAGTCAATGGGGACCTCGTAAGATTCTGCGAAAGTCACAGGGGGCTTTGTTTTTGCATCTTCGGAGAGCCACCTCGTGCCGAGCCTTGAACGTTGACCAGTTTTGATTTTTGATTATTGAAAGTGTTACGGAGTAACTCAATTCAGGTCCATTTTCGTTTCCTTCCACATTATGATATCTGTGTTCGGCTAGATGAAATAGAAGATCAAATGAGTCGAGCTAAAGCATTGTAATCAGTGGCAGTTGCCGGGGAAGGCTAATTGAAAAACATCTTGTGGATAGCCCCAGATGAATGGAACAGATAATACTTAACTTGACGCAAACAAACCCGAATACGATGATATACACATGAAGATGACGACCATGTACAAAAAGTGATACATGAGAATCAAACTGCACATTAGCGAAAATCAACAAAAAGCATGGTCCCTTTGTCCCTATCGAACCCTATCGATTTCTTACTGTCATGTTTACATAACACGAGAAATCGATAGCCATAAGGACTGGAACTAGATTTGAGGAGAAAACAAGATGGGAAAGGAATGTTGCAAGAAAGTAAAAAGGGGACAAGTGGCGTAGTGGTATGAGGCGCCGCTATAACCTGTCAGACGCAGGTTCGCTCCCGCCCCTGGGTCCTACCCTTCGGAGACGGTAAATTGGTACCAGAGTATTTCTAGGAGGATAAAAGCACTGACTTGGTAATCGGCTGGTCTCCGCAAGTCACTGTAAAGGCTCGCACGCTTACAATTGCATCTCCGACTATGAAGTAGTGTGCGTTCGGCGCATGACCGCAGAGGGTATTGGAGACGCCAAATATTTTATCCTTTATCCTTATTAAAGGCCAAAAGCATAGGCAAGGCAACGATGCGAAAGTGTTTTTCTGATTATGGATAATTTTTTGACCGGGAAATCCGTCCATGATAGAATTCAAAACCCAACTGAACTTACAGATAAACAGACAAATTTTCGGCCCAGCGGTCTGCAAACACTGCGCGTGGGCATTTAATGTTGCCGGACCGTTCGGTTTTGCTGTGTCCTTGCTATGCGTTCGTCCGCTCCCACAAAAGCCGAGAGATCTGCCGATCAACACCGGCCTAAGTGGAACCAGCTTTTCGAAGCATTTTGTTATATCCGTTGTTCTCGCCATATTGACAATTTCTGAGTTTCAAGCGCGTAGAAAAAATAAGATTAAAGAACTTTATCACGATCTCAAGTATAAAGGGAATTCGTGTTAATAATTAAGCTGTTTATTTCAAAATATGCTACAAATATCGCTGAAAAACTTTTTTCGTTTCATATTCCTATTTATCACTTGACATTGGATATACGTAGAAGTTGCCTGTTGATTGGGCGGCAGGGGACCCCGATTTTTGATGACGGTGAGACCAGTCACTGAAGTGCAAGAAATGACCTCAACTAAAAATGCAAGGTGTTAACAAACTCCACTTTGAAAATAGGCAGATATATAGGTGCGTCCCGTCGCAGAATGTTGATGAAGAATCTATTCTGTTACAAGTATCTGCTCCCATCGCAGTTTATTGTAATTAAACTTTTCCTCAAAGAACGAGGATAATACGCATGGTTGAAGTCACTCTTGAAAGCTTGAGTAAGCTTGAAATAACGTACCCTCGATTTCAATTCATATGTATTCCCTCAACATGGCGTGTATTTATGGAGTGATGAAGCGCGCATCGCTTCGCCTTGTTACGGAAACATTGTCTAGCGTGATCTGGTGCTAGAAACAACGCAGTAAAATTTTTCCACGTCGGTCCTGTTGCCACACCACTCCAAAGATGCGCCCGCAACTTCACATAGCAGGCGTACGCCCCATCAATCCGCATCGATTTGAGGTAAGACATATGAGTTTAGGTCAAGAGTAGGAAATCAATAATAATTTGTGAACTTTTTGCAAATAACTTCTTTTAGCACCACCCTAAGTTAGTGGCGCTCTCAAGCAAAGTCATTGTGATATCAGTAGTTAATCCCTAGATAATCTTCTGAATAAACCTTTTTAGATTCTGTTTTGTGAAAGCACTCAGACTAATTTCTAGAATGATGGAAAATACCAAAGCCTCCTAAGCACGCAGCAATTACAATCACTACGTAATATAGTTTGGAATCGTTGTTTACCCATTAACACCCCTGGTCCGTGGAACATGGCAAACGAGGAGGCAGCAGACGTAGAAATTATGATGAAATGTACTGATCTTTGACTTTGGATTGCTGCCAAGTGGCATGCGTTTTGGAACGCTGCCAAATTTCATAACGAGTGACCAAGCATATTTTCGTCTAAGGGTCACACGGGTTTCGAAAGGCAATCATGAAAGTCGCAATGATTTTGAGACTGTGTCGCCAGTGTCCGGGTGTGTTATTTGTACCAGCTTTTCAAAATCGAACTTGTTATCCCAGAATGTGTCTTTCAAATATGTTCTACTCCTATTAGTTGCTTTTGAAATAATGCCAAATTGCGTGAAAGCTTGACTTGAGCTAAATTCATCTATATTCTCAACTCTTCGTAAAAATGCTCAGTAAAATACAGTAGGATTATCTTGCTTCCGCGTGTAGACAAGAGAGTGCGTGAATAACTTAGTCTCGGTACTTTTGGAAGCGTTTATCTAACAACAGCCTTGCTTTTGCTTGTGTAGCTGGGTCCCGCTGGTGCTTTCAACCGGGTATCGGTGTGTAAGCGACACGTAGGGCAAATCCATCGGGTAGGGAATAGATTTTTGTACGTTTGGGGCAGTTCTCAGAATTGAAAGTCCAAAAGTGGCATGCACGGCAGTTTGAGAATACGCTGTAAATACTTGATTTCGTTGTTCTCTTTCTGTAGAGTCATAGAATTGGCTTTTTATATATACGATCTTCAAGCGGCACATAAGGCATAAACTTTCTTTTTGAATAGTCACTATCGGTCTGTAAACGGCACGTAGGGCAACCCGATCGGGCAGGGAAACAGATTTTTGTATGTTTGGGGCAGTTCTTATAATTTCTAAACGGTCTTCAAGCGGCACGTAGGGCATAGACTTTCTTTTTGATTAGTTACTATCGGTCTGTAAGCGGATTTTTTTTCAGATTGTCTTATGTTTGGGGCAGTCCTTATAATTCTTAAACGGTCTTAAAGCGGCATGTAGGGAATGAACTTTCATTTTGAATAGTTACTCTCGGTCTGTAAGCGGCGCGTAGGGCAACCCGACCGGGCAGGGAAACAGCTTTTTGTATGCTTGGGGCAGTTCTTATAATTCCTAAACGGTCTGCAAGCGGCACGTAAGGCACAAACTTTCTTTTTAAATAGTTACTATCGGTCTGTAAGCGGCACGCAGGGCAACCCGATCGGATAGGGAAACAGATTTTTGTATGTTATGGCAGTTCTTGTAATTTTTTAACCGTCTTCAAGCGGCACGTAGGGCATGAACTGTCTTTCAGATAGATAATTGATTTGTAAACGGCACGTAGGGCATGAACTGTCTTTCAGATAGATAATTGATTTGTAAACGGCACGTAGGGCAATTTGATCGGACAGGGAAAGAAATTTTTTACACGTTTGTGCAGTTCTTATGATTGACGGTCTTTGGGTGGCTCCCTTTTGTAGTAAAGCTTCATATTCCTTTGGCGAAAAAATTGAAGGATTCTCTGACAAAATTCTTAGACGAATGATTTCGTTGCTTCGGAACTGATTCTGAGAGAAAAGTGTTTTTTGTAATAGACATAATTCTTATGGTGTATTTCTACTTCCAAAACGATATGTTCTGCTACTTACTTAACGATCTTTCATGGAACTTGTTGAGAAGAACTGAAAGAGCAAATTCTCTTTGAGTGGGTAGAAAAGTGGGGGGGGGGGAGGGTTATCTGAATGTCTCTGTGAGGAGGAAGATTTGCATAAAAAGCGTGTAAACGAGATAAAAATAATATCATGCATGGATGTAACAGGAATTTCAAGAAGTGCTGAATGATTTGTGGAGATTATCGCTTCTTCGAGCAGTTCTCTTTGTAGAATGCTCTTTGCAAAAATGTTCTCAGGAAAGGAACAGGAAGCTTATTTAGAAATATTTTTAGTCAAACCTAAGCCTTATATGTTTCTGCCCCGACCCACTTGCTAGCGACCCGTAGGGTCGCTAGTCTTATATATAAAGCTGAAGTCTGTTTGTCTGTCTGTATGTGTCTGTATGTGTGTACGTATTATACTTGGGACCGAATCGAATAATTATTCGATTATTCGAATAAATCATTCGAATGCGAATCATTCGAAAAGTCGATTATTCGAAAATCTGAGATTTCGAATAAAATTCGAAAGTCGAATATTCGAAATTTTCAGTTTTCGAGTATATTCGATATTCGAACATTCGAAAATTTCAGCTTTCGAATATTATTCGAAAGTCGAATATTCGAAAATCTCAATTTTCGAATATTATTCGAAAGTCGAATATTCGATGGTCATCAATTCGATCATTCGATGGTCATCGAATATTCGAATTATTCGACGAACATCGAATATTCGAATATTCGATAATTTGAATGATAAAACCAGAGCCCGGCACAGATTGTACGGAAGCAAGCTGGATTCGGTTTTTGGGGCGAAAAAGCAAAGGGTACCATTTTTGTGGCCAAAAATTGCGAGGTTTTTTAGTCGGCGTTTCGTCTTCTGAGGGTTTTACGTTTAGGGCTGACAGTTAAAGGGGACTTCGTTTTCAAGAAGACTAACGATCTCATGCTGGGCCTTGGTTGGAACTCCTAAAGCCTAGCACGTCACTGTAGGAGTTTCTATCAAGTGACAACTCTCAATGGGGAGCGTATAGGCGCCGTAAAACCTAATTGCCCGCGCCGTGCATTGAACACCAGCGTAAGCGAGCGGTCGTCGCGAACGGCGTTTGTCGGCGTTCACTATAATCCAAGAAAACTTTCTTTAGCTTTCGTATTGTGCTCTCAATGCAGGGTATATCTTAACGAAAGCTCCTTTCAAAAGTTTAAAAAAATATGTGCGGAAAGGGTGCGCGCTCATTGTCGCTCGCAAAAGGCCTGTAGCGCTTCTAAACCAAACGTTCCCAGCCGCGTCGCGTTGGTGTTCAAAGCGACGCGTGGGCAATTGGATTTTACGGGGCCTGTATATGCTTTGTGGTCCTGGCGCAGTAGTCTATACAGTAGTTGTGATGCGCCATTTCTGTGGCAGATGCATCTGCTGTCGACAATGTTTTCCTACTAGGGATAAATTACCGGTTACGGAGTCTCCTGCCATATATCGCTTTCTAAATTTGGTCTATTCAACTGTTGAAGGTGTAAGAAAGGTGCGAGTCAGCTCAGATATAACTGAGTTAAGTCAGAGTAACTGTGAGTTCCGACTAGATTACTACCGACCCTGCCCAAGGTCTAGTGCACGCTGTTCTTCATTCGCATTCGGGAAAGGTGATAGATGTGAACGTGAACGTGAAGATGTTCCTGATATCGTCGCAGCGTTACTTCCACTCGACATCGTAAATTGAGGGCGTATTCGAGATAATGCACCAGTGACCGGAAGGATAGTGTTGAGTCAAGAAGTTCGTCGTTTGTTGTAGTGCGAGAAAGGGATATGGTAGAACCAGTCATTGTATAGTATTTCCAGCAGCGGTCTAGCTTATCGCATTGCCAACGAGAGGAAGATTGCTTATTGCCACGAGTGTCTAGTTGAAAGTTATGGATAAAGCACTTATACAGTTCAACAATGTGTATACTACATGTGTATCGTGGAGTTGTCGACGGCAAGAGCTAGATGTAGAGAATCCGCGCAACGCGCTGAGATGTACGTCATGTACTGCAGAGTAGTAGTCGCATAAAAGGGAACTACAAAGACCTACAGTACTTGTAAACTATGCGCTTAGTCATGTTATCATGATACATAGACATTAATTTTTCGAATGATATTCGAAAATCGAATGATATTCGAAAGTCGAATGATATTCGATATTCGAATGATATTCGATATTCGAATATTCGAAATTTCCGATTTTCGAATATCATTCGATAGTCGAATATTCGAAATTTTCAATTTCCGAATATTATTCGATAGTCGAATATTCGAAATTTTCAATTTCCGAATATTATTCGATAGTCGAATATTCGAAATTTTCGATTTTCGAATATTATTCGATAGTCGAATATTCGAAAATTTCAATTTTCGAATATATTCGATATTCGAATGTTCGAAAAAAATTTCGAATTTCCCCAAGTATAGTACGTATGTTCCGAATATAAAATTCCATTTTTGAACCGATCCGGGCCAAACTTGGCACACATACACTTCGGTGCGGGGCGGGTGTCATAGGCCACTCTTCGTCATCGATCGATATCGATTTTATCGGTTTTTTGCAAAGTTTGAGCTACGGGGCTGGGAATTGGCACAGGGGGGTAATCGAGCATGCTGATTACGAATACAATTTTGGTTCTTAGAATCGTCCATCACTTCTATCGAAAAGGGGGTTTTCATGGAGGGAAAAGGGGGTTTTCATGTAGGTGTAGAAAAGGGGTTTTTCTCTCATGTGTCTCTGACCTCACGCTCGGATCTGCTGACGGTTGCTGGTGACGGCTACAAGCGGCCAGCGGCGGCTACAGGCGCAACCGTATGGCTCGGAATTTGAAAATTAATTTGTCCGCGATTGAAACATTTGCACTAGCGCTTAAGCAGTGTTAGGGGCCCCTTTCTCTTTAACTAACCCAAATGCCCAGATTTTCCTAAACACTGCCTTGGATGCTGCTTCCGTTTTCCTAGCTTGTGTAAAATGCTCGACTATTTCTTTTAACTATAAGACGGACCGAATGATCTCGTATGTCTAATGTTTCAGGTACCTGCTAGCGAGTCACGTGCAGTTAGTTCCTCCAGTGAAATTCATGCTTTTGATTCCTCCGAAATGGCATGCGCAATAGCGAAGGTGCAATATCCTGGCCAATTCCAATCCACTTGTTCAGTATTCTCCAATTTTGGGTATATGAAATGTTTATCCTCATGTCAAATATCATATAAGCATTATATCTCAGGCTCAAGTGCTCATTTGCGAAGTTGCCGCCACTAGTGGCGGATGCACTGGAGCGGTATAAGCGTATCCTTGTGCATACCAACGAGGAAAGAATCGTGCCGCTTGGTTCTGGTAGGTTGAAGTCATAATTAATAGGAAAGGATGATAAAACTGAGCGGCGTTTCGTTGTATATTGCGTGGTAGCTTTTCAAAAATCATATTTTCTAACCTCGACATTGTCCTTGTAGCTCTGCTGAAGGAGTTGTGAGAAACCTGAATTGTGTGCACTTCGTCACTTGACGCGACACGAGCGATACGTGTTTGTTGTCTTTAGCTCAAACTCGGAGATGATTATGTACAATAAAATTAACAAATGTAATATAGAAAGTACCTGATGAATTATTCTACATACAGGAATGAGCGAATAGGTAGGGCAACGTAGCTTACTCACATGGAATGTGTTTTTGGTAGTGCCCTTTCCGGTTGAGCTTTACACGATTTTGTATAGAATCAGAAGCTGATTCCAATTTTTGTCCCTAATATCTGCTGCGCAGGCCCAGCTATGAGTGTTTCTTTGGATCGAAAAACAGCATAATATTGATGGAATATCGATGGTTCCATAGCACTGGCCAGTATGAGTATACTAGTTCACTTATTTATTTATTTATTTATTTATTTATTATTGCACGTAGTGCGCCAACAATGTAAAGTGCAGGTAAATAATGAGTAGACACAAACGAAAAATGAAAGCAATACTAAATGATGAAAGATCCGATACAACACTCAACCAGTCTAAGTCAGTTGGACACTACCTTACTTTCATAAGACAATGAGATCTTAGCAAAAGTTAACCACTACATAATAGCTTGCTATGTTTGTGAGTCAGCTATTCTGCGTCATCCACTATGATTGAGATTTAGCCAACGACGTATAGATATAATGAGCAATGACTGAGATGGGACCAAGACCATATGCACCCCAGAGGCAACTTCACATCTATCTCTGTATTCCTGTTTATCTTTCCTCTAAGTGCCATACCCCGACATAAAGGATGAGGCCTAGGCGAATGCCAACCATGCGTGTCTCGGTTACATCACCAAATCACCCTTATCCACAAACTCGGTTACGAGGTAGGAGGATTTCAAGCGTATTAGCGTGAGAATTAGCAGTAGTCAACTTTCTGCTATAACTGTAATTGTAATTATCAAATTAATCAGTTATGAATATTCATTGCATAAAGTGCCTTGATACCAAATACGCCCTTTCTGAGCGACCGATTATGCATTTTTTGGCAAATTACGCATTCATTTTGTTCGACTCAAAGTTCTTAATTCGGCGTCCAAAGGCGCACATAATACATACATAACTGCTTGAGCTATCTTTGCGCTAAGTGCAGGCATCAGCACAGATCACCCTACGTTGATGATCTTCCTTCTTGCTGGTCATCAATGATACGTCCATAAGTTCCAAGTGCGAAAATCCTACCCGACTAATCCTCAACTGGTTTAGCGTTCCACTTACGCGTCTGCCCGTCTTATTGATGGTCTTTTTGGGTGGAATTTCAATTCCTGAGGAACCTACGCTGGTATACTTAGTGTCCAACTGTCGTCCGTTTTCTTCTCAAGATGTGGCCGTCCTATAAGTGTCTCCCTTCAGTGACATATCCTACTGGATCATAAAGATGGGACAATTTTCCATGTTCGTTTGCCCGCGTCTGGTAGTTTTTGGAAAACCGCGCTCAGATGTTTGGGCTATTTTTAAAGCTTCCGATGTGACCGCTGTACTGGCCCTGATCTTAAGCGCTGGGTGAACGTCGAGTCGAAAAGCTGAGCCCGAAGCTCCAGGTCCTAAGTGATTGGGGGCTTCTCTCAAAGGCCACCCAGGCTGCTCTTCTTCTCCTGTTAAGTTAAGTTTTTCCCTCAAATCGCCTCTTTGTTCATTGAGCGTCGAAGATAAACGTAAGGAGACGTCTCTGTGATGGAGTTTCTTTCCAACTCTTCTCTCATATCTGCACATAAATGTTCCCCATTGTCTAAGCATTCTTCCTATTTATTCGCGGTCCAATCTTCTTCCTTAGTTCAATTGGTTCCTTCAGCATCTTCTCTGCTTCAGAAATGTTGTGAGGAGCTAGACTGCTTAGGCAATAAAACCAAAAGCTACTATACGTTACATAATTCCTGTGGCCGTATTCATCAACGAACCCTGAGGGTCAAACTAACCCTGGAGGGTAAGTTCAATCCTCATGGTTCGTTGATGAATACGGCCACTGGAATAACATGTGGAAAATAAAAATGAGACGCAAAAAGGAAAGTTATGAAAAATTAAACATAGCTCACAACACGACAAGCTTTTGGGGCATGTCCTGATTTGCTGGGATAGGGTATTGTAGAAGTGAACTCAAACCGTACACTCGTGATGGTGTAGATATAAGCGTCGAGATTGATTTTATCATTGTTGGTTGCTATCATCCTTTACGCTAGCTCTTTTACATACAAATGATTTTCTATATGTAGTTCTTGCATTTTTCATAGAATCGCTTTATGCTATAGATTTAGAAATGTTGTCGGAAGTCGTCGCGAAAACAGAGGATGATGGCGAATGCAAGTTCGATGGTAAGTCGATGGATCACTATCAGTAACGGGAATTCATCATAGCAGGATCGAAAGAGCATGCCGAAGAAGGCAGAAGGAGACAAATTTTGCACAGAATTCGCCGAAAACGGTAAGTTCCTTCTAAACTTTTGCTTGGCTTTCGTAAATACATACTAACTCACAAGGGAGTGGTCAGAAATCGAAGTGGCCAATTCAAACAAGCATATTAATAAATGCAGCATAAAAGCCGACTCTAAATCTGTCTTCCTTTATCTGCACAACACTTTTGGGACTGAAATTACAAGCCGTTAAAGGCCGTTACTTTGCTTACTTAGAAATCGTGCGTGTGAAGGGTAAACTTGGCCGTACAGAGCCATTCGCGGTTCAGTGCTTGGACTAGCAACTAGGTCATTTCATATGACCCGTACCTAGAGTTGAACTAAAAGGGCTATAGTGTGCCTAAATTCGCAATTTTTGTGTATGATTTTTTCGCAGTAAAGCTACCCATAACTTCGCCTAAAAGGCGTTTTGCAGGTATGGAAGACAGTTTCAAAATCAGCGTTCTATCTTGCATCGAATGGTATGCGGCTTGTTTGGATTGGCCACTTCCACTTCTGAACATTCCCTTGTCAGTATGGCAGCAACAATAACTGGTATCGTTGCAGTCACTGCCATAATGCTTCAACACGTTGTGCACCTCGTGCATACAGGCCTTCCGCGGCGAGCGCGGGATTATTTACTGCGCGTCACTCCTTTTTCTTGGTGCACTCTCGGCGGTTTTTCGCCTGCTCTGTCGTGCATTCATGATCCATTCTCAATGGACACAATAGCGTTGCATTTCGCGCAAAAGGCAAACTTATACGCGTGTATGCACTCTCTGACTCTTGCTCTCGTTTAGCATCTTCGTGCATATGTACATATAGCACCAGTTTCAGGTGTAAGCAAAAAGTACTAACAATAAGTTACTCCATGCAGTGATAACACTAGTGGCCTGATTGTCATATAGAACACAGGGTATCGCATAGTTGTTCATTGGCTACGGGTCAGGAGCCACGATTTTTCGCGAAGCGACGCCGCAACGCGACGTCAAGCAGTACAAGACTCAGCTTCCGCTAGTACTCCTGTCGCAGTGTTACTTATGCCATCGAGTCATGTATCTGCCGCCACCCCCCCCCCCCCCCACTCCCCTACTGTGGCGCCGTGCCACTTTAGCACCGGAGCTATTGTGAGACACAAAATTTGGGCGCGGCGAGCGGCCACCGCGAGCGGTGTGACTCCTGACCCAGAGCCCTGACCGAGCGTGCGCGGGCCCAGTCGTTGACAATTGTCCGCGCGCCGCGTGCGCGACAGCCCTCAACCTATTTGGGCGACCGCCTTCGTCATGCAGCAGATATTATACAGTCCATTTTTGATGTGTTAAATGTATGCTAATCATGCTTTCGTAAGAAGGCAAAAACTTTGTTTAGCTGTTCTGAGAGCAATCAAAGATGAACTTAGCCAAAAAAACACCCATTATGATGTTTCCTTAAAGAGAGTCCCACTCAGACAATCGCAATTGATTTTCGCGGGAAACTGAACTTCTAAAACTTCCAGGGGACGCTTCTATTGGGCCACGTAGGTGGGTGTCGCCTTACCCGGCCCCGCCCTACCTGGCAGCTTCAATAGAAGTGCCCTCCCCCGGAATTTCCAAAACTTTATCCCCCGAAAGTTAAATTTTCTGAACGGACATATCCATTTCATCGTTTATTGGAGGAGAAATCAATGCAATAATGTGCATATGTAATTCCTGCTAAGACTCCGTGAGATACTTGAATTTCTAGAAAAAATTCGCATGTATCATTTCACATGATGTCTTCGCATCATGTGAAGTATTGTACGAGTATATTATCTAACAAGAGGAGGATACTTGGTTACAGCGCAATTTTCACCTGGGAAGTACACTGTATTGTAGAGTATGGAACGCTGATTCAAATCTGCTTTCGGTATCTGCAGAGCGCTTCTGGGATAGAGGTTATAAGAATCTTTTGAGAAATTTATGGTTTGGCTGCGATAATAACAAGAGTCGAGGTCTTTCCGGCGTTTGAAGTATTGATTAACGTCATTTTATTTGACTGAAGGTATTAACTGCATGAAGCGCAGTGGTAGCAAACGAGGCCCCATCTGAGCTCTCCTTTGTAGCTGCTGCATGTCGAAGGCGCAATATCTTTCACAAGCCACACCCAGTTCAATCTTAAGGAGAAGCAGACGAAGTATCGCTGCGCGTATGCTTCGAGGAACGGTACCTCTTCGCTACTATTTCCGAAACTAACGCGGCTCATGGCACGTGGATTGCTTTGGCGCGTTCGCATTCAGAGTAATTAGGGTGCAGCTTGTACACGTGAGATTAGGGTAACAAGTTCCAATGAACTTGCCGCAAAACGACTCTGGCGGCGTTAAGAACTGTTGATACTACTAATTATAGCTGACAAGGTGGCTTATATGCAAAAAAAGCACAAAGGTTCAAAAGTAAGCGTTTGACATTGTGTGTTAGCACGACACCGGCGGCTGAGCTGTTCAACCGTTATTCAAATTGTGGTCCGCTTGCACGCGATACGGCGAATTCTCAGTGGGATGGCGACTACCGTAGTAACTGGAAAAGTCGAAAAACTGAATATCTAACCAGGCAATGAGCCTGGTGAAGTTTCTTTTTTGCACGATATGCATATATTTTTGAAGATTAAACGGTGATTCCAAATTTGTCCTCCCCTGCAGAGCTCATCTTGGCAAGCAGTTATGGAAATTTTTGTGGCAAAAATTCAAAGACGTGGGAAGAAAAAATCATTCACGAAATTTTCCCTGTACTCAAGGAGTAGCGGTCTCTGTTAAACATCTATGTGCAAAGAATAATTTCTATCGGCTATATCCGTACACAATACTATTCCATCCGCGAGTTGTACAGGTTGTTACAATCAGTTTTAGCCTTACTGTCGTGCGCTCACTTTTTCGGCTCTAGGAGCCCTCTACCTCTCACATAGAGGTGCTCCACAGATAAGGAAGACGGATTTAGAATCAGCGCTTGATGCTTTTGAAGTATATAACACATGTTAAAAGGCCGCTTCGACCAGTGATCCTTTCCCCCGCATATACAATGCAGAATGAGATCTTTGGTTAACTTTGTCGATTCTTTGACCGGACATCACTGCGCCGCGAGGTATAAAACGCTTGCCTCAATACACGCCAAGGTGCAAGCCTTTCTCTCGTAACATTTTAGCCGCGCGTGGTCCGCAGCGTTTGAGCAGTCCGTGCGGTCAACGAATCGACGAGATTCCTTATCGGATAGGAACTTCTGCAGAGTTTTCTGTTCTGATGCTCTACACTAAGCTTTGGGCGTTTTTCCTTTTGCGAGACTCGAGTCAATAACTCGCTCTTTTACAAGCATAAGTGAGGTTTTCCCAGGAAAAAGCTTACAAAGTAGATTTTTGATAAAATTTCGGAAAGTCTATGAAATGAAGGCTCCCCAAAAAGGTTCCTTTCGCTCGAAAGAATGGTGGCTTCCATCAATGAGACCTTCACTCGCACGCTTCACTTTTGACAAAAAAGAACAAATTTCCCTCGAGCCCATGGGAAAAACGCTAGGGTGCAGCCCATACTCATTGGCAGAAATTTTTAAACTTTGTCAAAAAACTGTAGGCTGCATCAAATTTTTGTCGGGAAGTAGGACAGACGAGTCTGCCAACCATTAGTCTTAACGAGCAGCATTGACTGATAAAAAAGATGGAAATATTGTTGTTCGTGATGACAAGGTGAAAGCAGTCGTAATTTGTGCAGCTCTTTCAAACAGGGCACAACAATCAAGTAGATCAAGGGCATTTCGGTGTACAAAACACTGGCTACCTCATCCGCCGAAGCTAAAGTTGATACCGGAGAGTGCATGGACAGTTCTGTCCTAATTTGTTGTCATAAAGAAGTGAAAATCGTTGTTGCCATCCTTAACTCTTTTTCCTCTGTTCATCTCCCCCTTCACCAATCCACTTCCTTTTCCCTTTCCTTCCTTGGCACCCTATAGCCTCTGCAAGCACACCACATCAGTATACACTTTTCAAGCAGCTTTTCCTCCAGTTTGTGAAAAGTAAAAGAAATGCAGCAGAAATTCATTGAAACGACCTGGATTTTGCAGAAATGCTTTTTCTTCTCAATCATAGCGTTAGACTGAAAAAATGTACTTGACCTCTTTGCTAATTATTTTTCAGGTTATGGCCAAGCGTGTCAACCAGTAAAGAAGTTCCCTTGAAATTATGCAAAAGGTAATTTGCTTACACTTTGCATAAAAAATTATCGTAGGTGTTAGAGAAAGTTAATCATTTACCAGTCGCGGTTTCGAGTGCTCTCTCACTTAGTATAGATCCATGAGGGTAGGGGAACGAAAGCCGCCAGCTTCGGTCGCGTGCGCGGACTGCTGGTCCTGGAACGACATGCAACAACGTTACGAAAGGACCAGTTAGCCGCGAAAGGCGGCTCAAACTGGCGGCTTTCGTTCCTTTACCCGATCCATGAAGTTACCGAGTGATACGCTTGAAGCAGGGCTCGGCACGGGCTGGCACCAAGGAAATTTCAAAACGAAGTCCCGTTTGATATTGAAAATTTCGTACGAAGTCCCTTTTGACCTGTTTTGAAAACCCGTCATCATTTTTATATTATGTGAAAAAATGTAGTAGTGTTTTCATGCATTTTGATTACATGAAAGAACTTTTCACAGCTTTCTGAGCTTTTTAAGTGGTCGAATCACATCTTGAGAAGCAGAAAAAGCCGATTTTCGACGGCGGAGCGGACCGAGTGGTTTTCAAATTGCTATAAAACGCTGAAAAGAGAACATTATGAAACTGTTTCTTCTCCGTATGTAATCTTTTACAGTGTAGATACATTTTATGTAAAAAAGTATGAAAACTTATGTGAGCAAAGTGTCGGTGCCAGCTCAGCTGGCACCCAGCTGGCATGGTGCCAGCTAATTCAGAAAAAAGTTCGGCACAGCTTTCATTCACATAAGTTTTCATAAATTTTTGGCCCGAAGTTCCGGTCCACCAACGCGCATGCACACACCAAATTTGTGTCATACTATTGCGTTTTGGCCCAAAGCAACGCCTTTGTTTGTTGATGGACAGCTTGCCAATGGCATGTCGATGGCATGCCGGCGGCATTTTTGCGGCAGTTCTCCGCCTCTGCCCCTGTAGAAACGAATCCCCTTTGTTTTCCGCGCTTAAAACCATATCCAGCTTGACCCGGTGCCAGCTGTGCTGAGCCCTGGCTTGAAGGCAGTGGTTCAGGAAAATTGCGACTGCTAGCTTCCACACCTACATGGGCTTCTGGATGCGCTGAGTGCTGTGCTTGAAAAGTCAGAGGAGTACTTTTTAGCGTTTTTCTACCATGGAGACAGCTGGAGGGATGGGCGAGGGATTCCCGCCATCAATTGAGGCTATCGGCTTTAGGGTTACGTAGCCTAAAATATAGAAGGATATGCAACGACTTGGTTTTTTGTTTCAAAATTATGCGATTGGAAACAAGGTTGAGACCTAGTAATTACTGGATCTTCAGGCCTTGTGGCAGTCAAACCGGAGGGTTTTCTCTGGGATACCGTAATTTGGGAAAAACAAGTATATCCGTTGCCTTTGATTCTTTCGTATGCCGTACGGCTCGATGGTTGAGTCTTCTACCAACAGAAGTAACTTCCTGCGCTAATTCTGCTCAATTTCGCAGGAAGTTGGCCTCTATAGACGTTTTGCAAGTTTTAAAAATTGATGATGTCTCTTGAATAGCTCATCATGTGCCCATCAGTCTTTCCCTACACGTCAACTGGATAATTTGACGAACTTTTGGCACACTTTTGCGTTTTTTTTAATTGACTTTTGTTCAATTTCGCGTTTATGTAAACAGCCTGCACCTATTTTGGGTAAAGCAAACTGCTCTCTTCGCATGGAAAGCCGTTTGAGGAACACGAAAGATGGCAAGTCGTCTGTCTTGAGGTCCTCCCTTTCTGCTCGCCCGCGGTCCCTAGCGGATTCGTCCGCTCTGGGTTGAGTTGGTCAGCCGAGCCCCGGTAATAATTACTACTACAACGCCTGCGTCCAGGTAAGGGAACAGGATCTCGACAGGAAACGCACGCCTTCTGAGGAAGGAGAACGACATTTTCAATCCAGCAAAGGAACAACCGCATCATTATCTTGTATTATACTTTTTTTGTTTTGGTGCACTCTATGTGTTTTCTATAAGTAAATAAATAAATAAATAAATAAATAAATAAATAAATAAACAGCGACTGGCTGCCGAGAACTGTAACTCTACCCATTTTGGGGGTAATTGACTGATCGGCTCAGGCAGCCAATTGCAGTGTTGGCGAGAATCCCTCGCCCATCCTCTCCAGCTATCTCCAGGGTAGGAAAACGCGGTAAAAAGCACTTTTTTGACTTTCCAAGTACAGCAGTGGACTCAGCGCGTCTAGAAAGCCATGTGGGTATGGATTGGTCACAGTCGCAATTTTCCCGAGCCACTGCCTTTGAGCGAGACTTTCCATAAGCGCGTAGATTTTATAACTCAGTTTGTCTGCGTTATGTAGTAAAGTCGCAATTAACATGAGGCATATAACTGAATATGAAGAAATACAAAAAAAATTTGTCACGTATTTCAAAGATTTAGTTCGCATCGCAAATTCATATGAAAAGTTGAAAAGAGTATGTGTGCAAAGGAATGTCAGCTCTGCATCACCAACTCGAGCTGTTCCACCCACTCTGAAAAAGAGTTTGCCATGGCTTTCATTTATATGAGTTTTCATAATTTTTTGAACATAGTTTGACGTTTGTCCCGCATATGCACACATCAGTGTCATATCCTTGTCTGCTCGTTGTAAACAAGCCACTGGCCTACTTGAGTCACAATTTTTCTGTATGTACAATGCCACGTTAGACACATTGCCCTCATGATGCGCTCCTGCGCAAAAAGCATGCAAACCGTTGCAATTCGACTGCAGATGCGGTAGCTAGAAGAGGATCCTAAATTGCCTGGAATTGCCTCTAAGTGCGATTTTCAATATCCATTCAGAAGATGGCTTGCAGGGAGGACTTCTCAAGCATTGCGAGTACCTCTATTACGCAACAGCCATACAGTGAACCAACCCACATCAATGCGAATGTTTTCGCAGCTTATTTTCATGTTTACTACCCAGCAAAAATATTGAGGTAAGTTTTCTCAGCATAGAGTTTGAGTACTGATTGATAGTTTTAGTGCGGATGGTTGCAACGGCTATAAAGTGGAATTTCTAGCCGACCATATCATCAAAAATGTGCCATTAGAAGCGATCGCTCCATTGACCTGGGTAGCAGTAAATCAGCAGGTGCTACCACATCTCTAGCAATCCTTTCAAACTTTCACTCTTAACGCTAACTGCAAAGAATGAGAGTTGTGTTTTAGAGACGGCGAGCTTTTCTACTTCCCTCAAGGGTGTTCTAGCTGTTGTTTTCTTTAAATTATCACTAACAGTAAGATTTTTAGTGTATGGTCAATGGCGAAGAAGCAACTATCACAGCCACACCAGGAAATTTTGAAAACGGTCTTTTCACAGTAACCTGTCTTCACCAAGATGAGGGACCAACAACAAAATTGTAAGTGTCCTTATCCTGTTTACATGCTTTTCAGCTGCTTTAACAAAAATGAGGTATGAAATCATCACTTTCCTGTTGCAGTACAATAGTTCCTATCGTCTATTCCCCACACTATAGCGGGCGGAGCTTTGCCGACGTTTGCCTACGCCCGCTATACGCATGGGAATAGCCTATACTCAATAAGTAACTTAATCAAGGTAATCCAAAACATCGATTCTTTTTAACAAGGCTTTAGTTTAAGAATGGGTGGATTGAAGATGTTCAAATGTGGTTTCCAGTTTTTAGATAAGGTGTAGTTGTCATGATGAACTTGAGAAGGAAGCTTGGGGTAGCTCATTTAGTACAAATATCATAGATTGTAGTGCCACGGCAAAGCCGCTACATTTTCACGGCTTTGTATGAAGAAAATTATGTGATTAATCATTTTTGGTCGCTGTTTGAAAAGTGCATTTTGCCATCTGATCTTATCCTATGCAGTTTGCATCAGGGTAATGCTCCTGAGCATAGTTAGCTTGCCCGGGACATGGGAATAACTTCTCCTAAACGAAACAAGCAGAGTCTAAAAAGGATTGCCTCGTATGCGACGATTCTGGGTTCAGCAACAAAAACAGTTTAAGTCATTTATTAGGCTGTTAACTAAGTATCGCATTGGGTCCGTAACTTTTCGCTTTTTGTTATTGGCGCGCTCGAATTTTGATATTGCATAGATTGCCGTGTGGGCTATAAACTGGCAATGACAAAACAGGAAAAATAAAAGTCTTTTAAAACTGGTAAAATTTGAGGGTTCATGGAGTTTTAAGAAAAATGAAGCCGTTCTTAACCTAGAACATGCATAACAATCCGAAAGTGTGCATGAATTGTTGTTAGAGGTCGACTCATCTAGAGCTAGGGGAGAAATGAAATTTGAAAACAACCCGAGATTTGGCGTCCTCATTAAGTTGAGCGAGCCCTTTACGCACAGCTGCTTGGGAACAAGCGTCCACTAAGGAGTCAACGTCCCAGAATTCGCTAAAACTTTGCATGGTGGGGTTACCTGCCCTGCCGAATACGAATATTATATTCATTTATCAAAGTAACGTCTCTTTTCTTGTTTAGCGTGAGACCCCATATCGGAAACCCACGCGAAATCAATGTCGTTTTCGTGACCAGGACGTCAAATACCCCCTACACAAAGTTCCAGCCAGATCTGTAATAGTCTATAACTTTTCCCCTTATACCATATACCTACTGCCCTAACCCTCACCGCGACGTCAGAATTTTGCAGAACTGTGGCTGCGATTGTACGTCACGACCTACATGATTGGAAGATTTTAGTGCGTCACACGCAAGGAAAGGGAATTTATAAAAGTAGGTGCAAAACTTAGTTAACAACCTGATATCAAGTGTTCCATGTTGTCGCTTTCCAATGATAGTAAAATGCCTGCGCAGGATACAGAAATGGAGAAATATGACATAGAGAAATTTTTCTGACCCCCTTCACTTTACGGCCGGCATCTGGCCGACCTCTTTCATCGAGGTTTAGACTAGAGTCAAGGCATAACGGCAGAATCAGACAGCTGTTACAACGGCACTTTCTTTTAAAAAGGAAACGCCAGCTGCTCTTCTCCTCAGACATCAGGACTGCAAGAGAGTATCGAAGCAACAGAGTTTTGTTCAAAAAAAAAACGCATGCTTGAGACCTTCTGCGCACTAGTGGTGTTCATAACGAAACATAATCAAAAATCAAAAGGATGTTTGATTCTTTGAATAAATGTCATTGTATCAGTGCATACATATTGTCGCAAGAAAGAGTTGAGTGAGAGTGGAAAATTTGGACTAGCTAATGATGGATGCATGTTTACTGACAAGAATCGTACCATATCTCCTTCAAAGAGAGAATAATAACAAATAAAAGTTAAATCAGTCGTTTCTCAAGCTTTCGAACCATATACAAAGGTTCGAAAAGACCTTGGTTGTAAAAATAATTATCCAGAATTGGCTGATATTGTAGTTAGATAAAACTGCTCTTATCTCGCTTCACAAAAAAGCTAGGAAAAAAAGAGACGGTCGACGTCGATTCCTCGTGTTCTTAGTTATCGAAGGGTATACAAAGTGTTGATGCACAAAGCTTTCTCAGTCCAAAAAAGTTTGCTCCGGCGACCCATAGAAAGAAAGAGCGGGGTGGAGCAAGTTTATACTAAACATCTCCACTTCATTTTTGAAAGCCACGAGTTTTTTTTACCTAACAACTTATATACCTTTAGAAGGCTCAAAAACAGGGATTCGACCTAGTTCGTCTCTTTTCTCTGGCTTTCCCATTTCTTTCAGAAATGGAGCTCAAATTGACTGCATAAAATCAGCTTATAGTGGAGCTAGATATGATTTTTTACATCTGAATTCACAGAAGAGCTGAAAAAAAAAAAGAGACGAACTATGTCGACTCTGTATCTTCCATGCTTTCGAGTGGTATGTCGATTGATGAAACATAAGGCTTCCCTGACTCAAAAAAGTCTCTGTTGGATGACCTTCAAAGCCTAAGCGTTGAGGAAATCTTTATAATACACCTCTGTACCACATATTTTCCTTGTTTTCACTCCCGCTCCCGTTAGACATGTAAGCTTGCGTCAGCATTCATCTTAGGCCCAGTTACCCTTTCACTTTTCTAGGTCAGAAATAGCCAAAACCCCCTTCACTTGGAGGGAACCCTGCTTCCCCTATCGCACCTATGGTTCAGAGTACAATAACAAAGCACTTTCTTCTAAGAAGGCAGAAAATCATGTTGCGAATCTGAAGACGTCTACATAATAACATGTCCAGGTGTAGATAGCAGCACGTGGAGAAACTGTGCAGATAATAAAGTCCAGAATTGATTAGCACAGAAACTCAAATTTGCTCGAATGTTTGTCTACATCATTCTCAGAAATTTATATCTACTTGCTTTCTGAAAGGGTTTACACAGATTTTTGTTTGAGAGAAAAGATGCACTTCACAACCCTAACTATAGCGCCATATGTCACATATAAACTGCAATGGTACAAGCTTTAGAAGAAAACTCCTGATTTTTCCAGTGTGTGTATAAGTAAGTTCAAAATAGAAATTTTTGTTTCTGAACCGAGCTGGGCCAAACTTGGTATACATACACTTCGGGGCGGGGCGCGTGCTGTAGGCTATTTTCGCCATTGATCGATATCAATTTGTATTGATTTTTTGCGAAGTATCACCCACGAGGTTGAGAGTTGGCACAGGTGGGGGGCGGGGGGAGGGTAAGGGAGCATGCTGATTACGAAAATATTATTAACAGGACCGTTTTGCCGGGTTTTCTAATCCTTTATATAAAGCTGGATGTAGTTCATAAGTTCTGCATTCTTTGAACCTTGACATAATGCTTGAGTATTGTTCAACTTTTCCTGTCTTTAAATCGTTTGATGGAAGTGATTGGCACACTTCCAGGTTTCTTAAAAATTAAAGTTAACTGAAGGTGCAAGAAAAGTGTCGACAAAAATCCTTTTGAGAACAAAAGCTAAACAATAATGCTAATGTTTATTTATCTGTTTCTGGGTCGCGTCTTTATGTGTGTACTATGTTCCGACTAGAAAAATTTCTAAACTGAGAACCATATTTTGCAAGCATAAATTTCGGGACCGGCGGGTGTCAGGCTACCGTTATCAATCCATGTCAATTCTATCGAATTTTGCAAAGTTTTTGCTACGAGGTGGCAGTTGGCACAAGGGGTAAGTGAGCATGCTGATTATACTAAAAATAGTGAAGGCAGGGTATCGGCACATAGAGGTGGGACCGGGACAGGGAAATGTTGTACGGAAATAGGAGGTGATGATTTCCATCTTAGTGTATATAAGGGCTGGCGGAGCCAGATATGCTAGCTAGTTCCGTATAAAACGGGAAGATCTGTCTTTGAAAAAAGTATAAAGTACACAATTCACGCTACCATTATCAGAGGCGAAATCTTCAAATTGATAAATGGTCTGGTTTCAGACTTATTGTTAGAAGTCATTCAGACAATAAGGATAAAGGTGCTGCATATGTCAACCTACATCGGTGGTTCGTAGGCTTTACAGTCCTGAGGCGAAATAGCGTTTTCTGAAAGTGTTATAAGAAACAAAAAGCATTTGCTTCGATAAACAACTGAAGTGCGCGTGTTAGCGCGTAGTAGAATGCTAATGGTCAAGGACGTGGCAATTTTGATTAGTCAACTTAGTCAACATCAGTTGAGCGGTAAACACACTTACGTCACAGCAAGTCACAGCAGGTCATGCTTATGCAAAACCTGCTTACAATGAAGAAAGGCTAAAAGATTAGTTGTATAGAGGTGCTGACAAACTCTGTACAACAGCCGTAAAGAGAAAGATGCTATTTTATCTGTTTTTTTTCCCTTTCATAAAGCGTTTTTTTTTCATTTCTCAGACTCTTGTAGTTATCTCCCAGTCTTTGATATATACGCACCTGACCAAAACTCTTGAGCCGTCATTTTCAAGATCGAGAATGTGCATATGTTGCAGTGTTCGATGGAATTCGTTGTCCTTTCCTTTGCGTACATGGCATAAAGAGCGCTCTCAGCAATTGGAAGCAAAGATTGGCGTCGCTAGACGTAAGTGGTCCTTTTCGTACCAAACAAAAATCTGTGCATATATCGAAATGTTATGGACTTCTTTACTAATAAAGATAACCAACACTATGACAAAAGAAAATAGTCAGCCAAGGAGAAATCCAAATAGAAGGTATGCTATCTAAGCAAAAAAAGCGAAAATGCGAAAGGATAACAAGATTTTGCAAAAAATTTGTTCTCAAGTATCGTTGCCCATAAGTGACGCAGTATCGAACCTGCTGACTTTCTTTTCTCGATGGTCTACAGTCTGCCCCAACCGGGATCAGGCCGAGTCGCTGGCGTAACTTCGGGCGCTCGCAGCTCTAGGGGATTTGTGCTTCATATGCGCGCTGTTAAAGAAAGTTAGAGAAAACCGAAAAGAGATTGAAGAGAGGGGCAAACAAGCAGGCCGTAGGCGGGACGCAAAAAAGTACCACGGCTCCCGTTATGCCGATTCTTGGCCTGATTGGGATTGAAACAGACTATATGCAATAAATATGAAACAGAGGTAAAAACGTCTAGAAACGTTTAATTCGCAAACACACTATACAAACAAGGTAAGCATACAGCGAGGGTTTCTGTTTTCATTTTAGGTAGCCCCGATCAGGCAAGTAGATTTGATCAAATTTGTGCGAAGCACAAGCGCTCGTGCAGACGAACTAAACCGTGAGTTATCACAATTTTAATGTTTGGAGAAACTTCCACAGCACAATCATATATTGCATTTCTCATTTCATGGGATGTCTTTGGGTTCCTTCATACCACGCTGCACGACGCAGCAGCCTGCCGCAGCCTGCAGTGCCTATGTCACCGCAGTTTTGCGGATCGATGTTCCTTTTCTGTGCACGTTCGCGCTTCATACATAGTATTCGTTTAGTCATAGTCTTACTGACGCTGACGAAGGCGAACATGCCGAAACGTTAGCCGAATAAATTTTATCAATCTTGGTCTTGCTAAAGCAATCAAAAAGTCTTCTTTCCTTTTTGCCTTGTGTTAACATAGGTCAACGGCTTTTCGTTTAGGTTGAGTTTAAGTGCGTTCTCGATTATACTAAACTTGTTTTGCTTTAGTTAGTTCTTTGTCAGTGACTTCAATGCGCTAATCTGCTTAGTACTATTCATGAGGTTGCTATATTTTCATGTTTGTGCATATTTTCGCTGCGACCGCACCGACGTACGCCGCAGACTGCGGCAGGCTGCTACGTCCTGCGGCGTAGTATGAAGGGACTCTTTGTCAGTCACTTCGAGGGTGTTGCATGGAAAGTTTTGCTGAGTCTCCTCCGGTTTTCGAGCTTCTTCTAGGCACTACTAAGTTGTCCAGAAAAAGATGTGCCGTCCTAATTCAATGCCAAAATTGGTACGCTTGTCCTATCACTACCGCTGAGTATTTGCACACTTCTTATACAAAGCATATTTTCAAAATAGGTTGCAGCGAGCTGTGCAAGGAATGGGTAAGAGGGATGCCATAACGTGTTTCATACTGATCCACATAAACAAAATCGTCAGAGTAACGCTACATAATCTTCGCTATGAACTTGTAAGCTTTGTAAAAACCAAGTTAGTACCGTAAGAGTTTGCGCTGAGGCCCCTCCATTCAGAATGCTTGGGATTGCTTGAGAAATTACTGCGATTGCCATATGTAGATGATGGGGGAATTAGGCTGGCAGTTGTGGCACCGAAAGAGTGTAACTTTGCAGTCTTGTTTGCTAGGGCATTCGCCTTAACTCAGAGGCTGCGTCCCGGCAACATGTCGGGTACCGGAATTTCACAGCGTTGCGATGGCAGGCCTCTCAACTAATCTATCCTTTTCTTCAACTGGATTAGCGGGTGGAAGGCGGAGCTTCGTGACCTAATTAAGGCTAGGGGATGATCAGAGAGCACGTTCGCGAAAGAGACGCAGCCTGCGTCGCAGGCGCGAGCGGTCGCCTTCCAGTCGCCAATCTCGTTGATTCAAAGGGTATCAGTGAAGTCTGGAGCGAAGAAGCGCGTATGGAAAGACTGAATTCCATTGTGGAAGTTCTATAAGTCCCTCTTCCTTCATGGACCCCACCCACTTACACGCATTTTGCATGGAAATGGAAAGTATCAGAAAACCTTTCAGAAAAGGTTTTTTCTTTGCCAAATTTTTGCGCTGAAAAGCCCAGATATGGGTACAGCGTGACAGAAAGGCTTCGAGAAGGTAAAAAACGAAGAGCGAAATTCTGCCGGACTCTGCCTTTAAAGGCAGTGGATCGCAGAATGGGCCCTTCTCGGATTTTGGTGGATTCAGGTAGTACCCCCCCCCCTCCCCCCCACCACTCCCCCAAATACACTGTAGCCCAAACCCCACCTGCCAATTCATGAGCTAAGTCCTGTAAATTAGCTTCAAAACTACACCAGCCCCTCCCATTTCCATTGAGTGGGCGGGGCTGGTGGAAATTTGAAGCGCATTTTTCAGGACTTAGCACATGAATTGGCAGGTGGGGTTTGGGCTACAGTGTACTTGGGGGTGGGGGGGGGGGGGGAGGGGGTACTACCTAAATCCACCAAAATTCGAGAAAGGTCCATTCTGCTAATCCACTGCCTTTAAGCTTCTTTCAGTGTGGGTGCGACAATTCTTCTCTATGATGCACCTAACAATGTGCTCAGCATTGCATCAAAAAGTTGCACTCTTCCTGCTGACATCTAAGCCGTAAAAGGAAATCCGCAAGCGAGCTAAACAGGTCAAAGATTAGGCGGAGCTTCGAAATTTCGCCTTCGCTGAAGCGAGGTCATACATAATCTCGTTTTGAGCTCGATTTTGCAAACACTTGGTGATCGCGAATATTCTTTGCCTACATTCTCTCTTCTCTCTCTCCCCTTCCCCTTCACTCTCCTTAAGTCGTTACTCTTTACTATGGAACAACTTGTGAAATATGGTGAAGCTATTACTCCTTAGCGAAAGTTGGTGTTTAGGCTATTTCCCTCGTTGTCTCATCATCAGCACCGCCCACAGCCAATTCCTAGACAGGGGAGAACGCGAAGAAAGATCCGTTAGTGTGTTTCTGTGGTTATTAAATACGTTGTGTAAGAGGCTTCCTACATTTTGCTTTGTAAAAGCGATACTCAGTTTTCAAGGTGACTTCTTTTTTTTCCCGTACAGGCTTAGGCGTTTAATTACAGTCGAGTAGATTTAGCGGTAAATATAGTGTGCTTGCACAGAAGGTGAAATGCGGTAAAATTGGCGCGTGAAGAAATAGTTTCGACTGTGACGCCGGCCAGTTGCGCGCGCAAGATAGCCGCGGTACTGATGTGGCTACTTGTTCACGCGCAAATTTCACCGCATTTCACCTTCTGTGCAAGCACACTATATTTACCGCTAAATCTACTCGACTGTAAGTTTTGCAACTTTTTTCCAACATTTCTTTTTGGGCATGACACGCTCAAGTTTTGCCATTATACAGGGGTCCCAAAGAATGTGCACAGTGTTTGATCGTAAATAACTCGCTTGCTTGAGGTCTTCCGACAAACTTAGGGTACCGTGTTTTAAAGCGAGGTTCAACTTGGATTTACAGTAGAGCGAATCAGCAATCGCTCCTCACTACTGTACGATTATGGTAGAAAGTTCGAGAAGGATTTTAGGCCATTGAGAGCCGTATCATGCTTCAAAAAAAAACCAAACAAGCCAGAAACTCTTATACTAGGCCAATCAGGGTCGCTCATTTCAAATATGAAATTTGCACTTTACTGTATGCTTCTTCCACAAGGTGTTCTGGGAATATTGTAACAAGTGTTTCGTTAGTGTTTGTTAGAAATGTGTATACAACCATTGAAAAAGCTGGAAAAGTCGTAAAAAGTTGTGTAGTGAAATCAGCTTGCGCCGAAACCCTTCTATACAATTCTCCAGATTTTTGAAAAAAATTCAAACGGTTACTTTACAATGTTTCTATGTGAAAATTCTTATCGTAATCCTACAGTGATGAAGAGGGTTCGATTATTCGCTGTATATGTGAATCTAAGTTGAACCTCGCTTTACATAACCATATTTTAAGTTTGCCCTAAGACGTCAAAACAGAAGAGTTATTGACGATCAAACAGTGTGCACATTTTTTGGGACATCCTGTAAAGCTCTGATATAAGCTACAAGTGCAGCTACCAGTCTGTTGAATTCCGACGTTGTAGTGAGGGAAACAGTAGGTATACGGTAAATGGGAGAATTTTTGGATTATCACAGATTTGGTTTAAACTTGGCGTAGGGAAGGGGGGGGGGGTATCTGACATGCTGATCATGAAAACAATGCTAAATTTGTGTGCTAGAGCATTTTTCATTAGATTACGGTAGGTTCATGATATGGGGCTTTGCCTTAAACGCGAAAGAGGCGTTAATCGAACAAATGATTATGATTATTGTGTTAGCAGGTCAAGTAACTCCTTATGCCAAGTTTCGCGAATTCTGAGTCTCCGATATCTCCTCGACGGTTACCTCTCAGCAGCGTACAGCGACTCGTTCAACTTCGCGAAGGCGCCAGATCTCGATTTATCTTCGAATTCCATTTCCTTTTATCAAGAGAAATAAGAACAAACTCTGGCAACAACCTGTGCACAACTTCGGATTTCGGATGTTGTGCTACTCTAGGTTGAAAGCGGCTTTATTTTTGCTTATAACCCCATAAATCCACAATTTCATTAATATTCGAAAAATACCTGAATTTCTTCTATTCTTTCACAAGAAAGAAAGCGATTTTCTAAGGGTTACACCCGCAAACCATTCTGCATAAGGCCTAAGGCATACCTCACGCGATTCCAGTCGCTGCGCGATTCGGTGCCGGAGCGGCTGTTCGTAATTGGTCATCAAAGCGCTTTGTTTGTGCAAAACTTAATCTGTTTGCAACAAATAACAGGAGCTAAGCGTCTATATATTGAAGAACGTACGATTAGTTTGGAGACATCTGGCAAACCGCCAGGTCGCATGGACGTCGCGATTTGGCCGAATCACGCGAGGTATGCCTCAGGCCTAACGTAGAAAAGAGAGTGCACCAAGATCAAAAATCGAAAAGTGGAAGAAGTTGCAGAACATAGTTGACAGCCTGATACATGTTCGGCCGAGCAATTTACAAGCAAAAGTTCTCTTACAAGGAAGAGTTCCCAAGTCAGCTCGGCTAAATTGTAGGAGTCATATATCGCCGTAACGGAATTGAAACGCTAATTTTGAATCTGTTTTCCTTTTCTGTGGAACAACTCTCCGAAAGAAGTTATGAGCTAATGAAAATCTAAAATTGTCATGTTTGAAGTGGTTTGAAATTAGCTAAAAGCTCTAAAAGAATACCTAGCGGACTTCCGCTGGCTGTGTTCCGTCCTTGTAGCCAGTATAGTTGTAGTTACAAAACTGATACTCCACTTCCACGCGTTATTGTACAGCTTTCGCCATTTTTATATCACTCAAGACTCGGCTAGTTCGGATTTTCGAACGCTCATAACTTCTTTCGGAGAGTTGTTCCGCAGAAAAAAAAGCAGATTTGGAGTCAGCGTTCCAAGCCCGTAACGAAGATATATGACTCATTCGAGTTGGCAGAACTGACTTGGGAACTTTTCCTTGTTAGAATCAGTTCATCTCTTTGCGCATATCCTGGATTTGTCCAATCGTTCTTGAAATTTCTTTACTTTTTCATAGAGAATTTTTGGAAAATATTAGCTCGTAACGTACAAGAAGCGTTATGTATTTTCCGATGTAATTTAAACGATAGCTGCTAATCTTCCTTCCTTTCTATATAACTTAAAGCTCTTCAAGATTGTTGAGGTTTTGTCGGTTGCGAACATTGTTCGCGCAGACGCCAAAGCAACAAATTCTTGATATCAGGTTGTCGTCAAGCTATGAGCATTATTAAGATTGCAAGGCTCCCTAAAATCTTAAAATCCTAAAAGTTTCCTTAAATCTACCAGCCTCATCATCTAATGATTTGGCAACCCAAAGACTCCTTACTATGTTCCGCATTCCTGAAAGAATCGCATGGCAAAGTAATCGTTTAGCGAGGTGCAGCGAAGCGGCTGCGCTGCTCGCTCAAGAAAGGTGCGCGTGTTACTCGCGAAATTAGGCTAAAACTTTCGCTGATGAGGGAATAGTCAGAAGCCGAAGTGGCCAATCCAAGCAGTTGTCTACCATTCGAGGCAGCATTCAACGCTGATTTCGAATCTGTATTTCATATCTGCTTAGCGCCTTTGTGAACAAAGTGATGAATGCATTTATTAGCATTTATTAGGAAAAAAATGGTACGAAAAAATTGCGAAAGTGACTAAATATTTCAAATCCGTCACGCATCGTGCTTGGACTTGTACTTATTCTATCAGTCTAGCCCGCACGACACTGACTTGGAAGACAACACTTACGAGCATCTGGTTTAGAGAATTACTCTCCTTAATTTCTCTAGGGTGTTGAGCATGTCACATTTTCGTTTCATTACGTGTCTTTATACTACAATACCGCTCACATTTTTTGAAAAAAAGGCGCGAATGTATGGACATGTATGGACATGTACGGACATGTCCATACATGTATGGACATGTCCGTATATGTATGGACATGTCCATACATGTCCGTACATGTCCATACATGTATGGACATGTCCATACATCAGCGTCGCGTGGCCATATCTCGCTTCAGAGTGGACGAATTCTGAATCCAAGGCCACCGTTCGATTCAGCTCGGCGCCGAGAATTTTCTGATATATTGGAAGTGGGGGTACGATGTTTTCGATATTCCGTTTCCAGTTTTTTCAATTTGTTCTGCGGAGGTCCTTTCGCGAATATGTGAAGCAACACCTACCCAACATAGAAGACTTTACCAAGTACTTTTCGATAATACTGTTCTTGTAAATTATTGTGCGCTAAAAAATAGGCTCAGACTTCTTTCCAAAGGAGGTGAAAGCGTTGGTGAATTTTGGAAAAATCACGCGTTTCTAAATTCTACTCGCCATAACTTCCTTCGGAGTAAGTATATTTTGAATCCGAAAACTGCGCCTTTCTCAGCTCCTCAAGTCGAATCATCCTGTGTACAGCATGTCCTTCGTATTTCGATTTCAGTATTCTTGAATCTTTCTGAGGACGTCTTTTCGCGAAGGTGTAATGCAGCGAGCATTGTCCCGAGTACATTTCAGCAAGGATCTTTCGATAGCACTTTTTCTGTAGATTATGATGTGCTAAATAGTAGTCGCAGGTTACTTTTCAAAGGAAATAGAAGGGCTGGTGAATAGTGGAAAAATCTTGTCGTCCCTCTACTCGCCATATCAGCAGGATACGAAGCTATCTTGCTAAGCAGATGTGAGTTTCGAAATCAGCAGGTCGCATAACCTTTACGAGCAAGTTTTCCGATATGTTCGGGTCATTTCATTTTTTCTCGCTTTACGCTCCGGAAGCGCGCCGATGGATTATGGTCAAAATGTTGATGCTCTTGAATTGTAAGGAAACTTCGCTTATAGAGGTTTTCGAACACGCTCTTTACGAAAATCGTGGTCTTTGAGGATTACAGGGTCTTTTTGGAGAGATACGGTGAGGTGACTGTAACTTCATCATGAAAGTACGTAACTTTGGCCGCAGTTCTCGCGTACCTGTCAGAAACCTTACCTGCTTGCTTTTCTCAGTCAAAGTTACTAGGAAGTGTGCTATCGAATGGTGTATTACTCAGGATCCAGTCTGTGAAATTCGCCGAGTTACGAGCCTACAAATACACGTCCTCATGAATTTTGCCCAAATTGTAAAGATCGCATATCTCGTCGAAATTCCTCCGCGAGCGCTTGTATTAGGTCATTCGGAAGGTTTTTTCGTTTTTGCACCTCCAAATTCAAACGAGCACAATTTTTCCCTGATTCAGCCTTTTTCCATCAAATAAACTGCATTGTGTTCAGCAAATTTCTGGTTACACTCTTATAGTGCTCTTGTGCTTTTCTCTTGCGGAATGATCTCAGAGGAATCACTAAAGCCTGAAAAGGCGTTTTTGATTAGTCAATCTCTATTAGGTCCTATCGTTTTTTAATAGGCACGGAGGAATTGGAAAATTCGG